ACCTGACCCCTTTTTTTGGGGAACAAAAAATTACATATAAACAAATCTCACCAGCCGTTTGTAGCCCAAAACGCCTGAGTGACACTTGGGTTGTTTTGCTATTGAATGTATTTTCGTTAGAAAATTACAAAATTTAATCACAGAGATAAAGTGATTAATTATATTATTAATTGAAATCATTATGTTTTCTGTATTAGGTACACAAAAATTTTGTCAGGTATAAAAAATATTGGAATTTTGAGACCAGTATACTAAGTAAGATTATACTTAATTAATTAAGTATAATTAGTATACTTGCATACGTAAATACGTGTAACACTCTATATATCCAGAACCGTCAACGAAAAGGGCATACAATTATATATTCCTTAAACCAGCTCTCAATGATCTATCCGTTGGTGTAAAAATACCCATGTTACCATTAAAAAATATATATGGAGGATGATATATGAGGAGGACAAGATGGAGTCAAAATATTGTCAATTTTGTTGCAGACATTATATAGTCCATTTTGTTGCAGTTCTACACGCTGCATTTTTAGTTGTTTAAATAAATATTTTAAATTTTTTACGATATAAGCATAAATTAATAGAAATACTAAAAAAGGAATTGGGACATTTAGCCACATACCTGTTTCCTCTTCTAAGGTCCCAGCGGGCGGCGTAGGTGGTCGACTAGTACTCTCGAAGAAGGACCCGTTAGGTATCACGTCGGACCCCATTTCTGTTAAGAGTTGTGCGCGTTTCTCTGCCAGGATTTTCTTGGCAAACTTTTGAGGTTCACGGTCATAAAACTCTTCATCTGTTTCGCTTTCGGTTGTTTCCAAGTCTGATTCACGAATCTCTGCTACACTAGGAACTACTGGTTGATCAGCAGTCACTACGTCCACTTTCAACTCTGTTTCTAGTTGTGGATGTATTTTTTTTAATTGATTGCGTTCCTTCCGTTTCAGGCGTCGCTGCTGTTGCCGTTTTCGCCCTTCTTCAGTTGAACTGTCAGAATTTGAGCTATCCGAACTCGAACTAGAACTACTACTGTCTGAACAAGAGCAACTTGAACCGCAAGCGCAGCTTGAGTCGCTGTCACTACTCGATGAGCTTGATGAATTTGGTTTTTTATTGGTTTTACTTTCGTCTTCTGGCAGAGGCTCTGGTTGGACTGGGACTTTTTCCTCTTCTGTCTGGAAGCAGTAGTCGTGATCAATGCTTTCTGTTGTATCCAATGACGGCTGAAAATAAAGACGATAAACATAACATGGCAGTGGCGAAGAAATTAATTTCATCTGCCCACCTTCACTTCGATTATGGCGTCAGTAGGTTGGGTGCTTTCAGGATCTGCACAGTAATCGTGGTCTAGAAGGGCCAATTGAGAAGATATCCCTTCTTCCACTATAGGAATCGGAATGTCTGGTACGTATGGCTGATTCACTTTACTGTCGGGCTAGAAAAACAATTCGATTAAGATTTAATTAGAATAAATAGAAAATAGTTCCGAAATTCAAGCCAATTGTTATTGATCTGTTTGAAACTTAACACAACTACTTAAAATCTTATATCATGAGCTGCGTGTTTAACACTTTATTACACTCTGCACGGGTACTTACAGACGATCGATCGAGACACCGGGGAAAAACAGATTTATTAGTTGGAAAGCTTACTTTAGATTGTTTACTTTTTTAAGTGTGGGTTCAGTAATATAAAAAATTCGGTGTGCAGTTTACGGATGAAATAGTGAAACGAGACGTTGTAAAACTCTGGAAATAAAGTTTCAGATATTTCCAAGACACTATTTTTAGCAAGCTATGGGCGAAGGCTTGTTATTCGCACACATTTAATGTTGCCTACGCTAGAGTATGCTCTAAGCATTTCAAAAATGATGATTTTGAGAGAAATTTGCAATTTCAACTTTTAGGGTACCTGCTTCCGTCCCCAAATTCGCCAACGTTAAATTCGCTAACAAAACAACAGGGAGATCGATTTCAATATTAGCGGCACCACAAACCACATGTTCCGTGGTAAATAATAAGAATCTAACATTTTCTGCAAGGGTACATTTTAAGGAGCTATATACTATACTTTGTTGCACATCTGACAATTATGCTTCCTTTACTGCTCCCAGTCCAGAAAACAAATTACACAGTTACAAAAATAACTTTTCAATTTCGTTTAAAACCCGTTGCAGAGCATTTCGCAATTATACCAAAGATATATAAAAAATAATGGAATGTGACAAAACTAAATAAGCTATATTCAATTATATCAATTCGACAGGAAAATAGCACAATAACCGCACGACACGCCAAAATTGTCAATTCAATTTGTGCTGTTAGTGGTAACACAGCAGAGAGTACCAGATGACGTCACGAAAATCGATATGCAATATCCGCAATATGTACTTGCGATAAATAAATGATAAAATCAGACAACGCCCCCTAAAATTTCCCCGCCTCGAATGAGCTGGCAAATCGCCCGAAAACAGCATCATTTAAAGGAAAAAAAGCAATTGTACTTACTTCTCCAATGAGAATATGGTCCATTTTCTCCTTATTTGCTTGATAATTTTTGAAATTGTCCCAAATATCTTGCATTACAGTGGATGACATGTCGTCCTTTGGTTGCTGTTCTACAATTTCGCACACAGTTTCGTCAATTCTGCTTTGCTCTTGCGTAGAATCGTCAATTCTGCTTTGCACTTCTGCAGAATCATCAATTCTGCTTTGTACTTCCGCAGCATCTTGGCAGGCAGATTCTGTAAACGATCATGTATTGAATTAATGGTTTAAATTAGGGCGAAATCTCTAAATACCTTCACAATTAATTTTTGGGTCTTCTTTTTTTCTTGACTTCTGGTCATCATTTTCAGAATCGCTCGAATCACTTTCCGATAAATTGAGCGCCGGAAGATCGTACACATCAACTTTAGGCCTAACTGGTTTGGATTCGTCTTCAGGATTAGGCACCTGATGGCAAAGGTAACGTGAGTATGTTTAAAGAATAGGGCATTTGCACATTTTTGTTATTTATATTTTTTAATGAATAAGGGTCCTACAAATTGTTTCCTTATTATCCATCCATAACGAATTTATCAGCAATCGAAGTTTAAACGCACACAAAGCGCGCCGGAACGACGTGTTTTTGCCTAAAGCTGGGTTCTCATGAGTCCAAATGCCAAAAACCTTCCGACCAATTAGAAGTTTGCTGGATGCGTTGGCTCCGCCCATCCGCAAAAGTTCCCAAATTTTAATATTTTCCACATGCCGTGCGAAAAAACGTAAAAACCTATGTTATCTCCAGTGAAAGATTATGATCAGCGGCGTCTATACAACCGTCTTTCATTTTGATGTCTTTGTCTCCTTCTTTTTAGAACGTACAAAGACAAAAGCAGATTTAACTTTTGGTTTCGAACGTTCATTTCATGCGCGTAAAAATACTGGGAAGAAAAAATTTAGAAAAAAAGAGTTGTATTATGTCTAGCATCCCGAAAGATATGTCAACACTATCGACAGAATGGGGAATCATAATCCGGATACATGTGAACTGCTTTAATTTTTCCGAGCGTAGTAATGGTAGTAGTAGGCTGCGCACGCACTTTCCGCTTTCGCATAGCATTCCGGACCCATGAGAACCATGATACAATGAATACAAAGTAGGATATTGATCGGTCGAAAACTCGATTTTCGTGCGCACATGACGTCGCTGGTTACCACTTTGGTAAAGTGAACAGCTGATCCCATTTAAAATGCATGTAACCTAGACAAATTTTCACTGAATTCAAAACGCAATAGTTCAAAAATGGAAATGGAATGCTTTGAAAATCGCGTTTGGGTCCTGATTTAGGCTTATTGGGAAGGAAAATACCCTAAATAATTCTTTACAAAATGTCTGATTTTCAGCGTTTTAGCGTGCTGTGTTGCCAGAGTGTAATTTGAGAAATCGTGTTGAGCCAAACGAAATAATTAATTAATTGTATCACAATGAATGAATGCACTGTTTATACAATTAATTGATTGTATCATACAATTAATTCATTGTATCATGAGGTCAATGCGTTTGGGCATGTTTGGGAATTTTGTAGACAAAACTGAGCATATTGCGTTTGGTAGTTGGAAAGTGTACTCTAGATTGTTTGCTCCTTTTAAGTGTCGGTTCAGAAATATAAAAAATGCGGTGTGCAGTCATTTTATTTGCATTAAAATTTACTTATCATCCGCGGCACCACAAACCGCATCTTCCGTCGTAAATAATAGGAAAGTAACATTGGGTCACTGTTTGGACTCACGCCAGGCAGTGATTTCCACTGACGTCACGCAAATCGACGCAAGATCCTACCTTGTATTCATTGTATCATGCATGAGAACCAAGCTTAAACGTTATGTGACGTCGCAGGGTATGTTTCATCTCCGCCACATTCGGCGCTTGTTCGTGTTGTCGTGCTCTAGTGTAAATTTCGAGTTCCGCTTTGATTGTTTCTCAATTATTAAAAATAAAATAGTTTATCGATACTGTATGATGTGAAGCAAGATGCCTCACATCCATAAATAAATTTTGGTACAGTTAGTAATACAGTGCGACAATTATTAATTTTAATAAACGTCTTTTTACAAATATGAGGTTTTGAAATAAGTTAAAATTATTATTACGCGGTTTTCCGTATTCATCGGTATCGGTCCGGATACTGATAACTGGTATTGATTGATTATATAGTATGATGGTATTGATTGTAGAGTATTGGGCTTCGGAGTCGAAGGATAAGATGGGTTACTTGATTTTCCGAGAACGATTACTGATTACTTGAATACTCGTTTGGTAGCTTGGTTCGGTATTCGTTACTTCGGATACTGATGAGTAACGAGTACTCGAATAGCGATTAGTTACTTTTTTCTCACCACTAGAACCGAGTAGCAAATATATTAACAAAACATTATGGCGAGTTATTTAACGAAATGCTTGGCTTTCCGTCTAAACTGTTCTTCAAATGCCCTTTAATTTCATTTCATTCAACAATTTCAGTCAATCATTCAATTTCAGTTCGCTATTTCAACGACAACTGACGATTTGCTGCAAGGCGTACGCTATAACACTTTCACACGACATTTCACAACGAGGCGACTGTAACTTTGACTGGCAAACTTTTGATTTAGAACGTATACTAAAGTCACTAACCTCCTCCTGTGGTACATTTTCTCCGCTTTCTTCGACTTCCTGGCAGGGCTCGTTGTTGATCTCCTTAACTTTAGTCTCTTCAGGTGGATCGGTGTGCCATTTAAAGTGTTTCAACATTATTTTCTTCGAAATAAAACATTCCGTGCAGTTCTCCCATTGGCATGCATGTTTCTTCTCATCAGTGTGTAACCTTTTGTGAACCTAAGGTTACAAGGAAAAACTTAAACTTACTGCCATACTACATTCCTAAACAAGTCTAAAGAAATAAGTAGACAAAGGATTATCCCTGATAACTATTCCATAAAAAGATAGAGCCCTATCGGCAGAACATTTTTAATTTTGAAAATCTTTAAATTTTTTTTTTACTTCTAACCTGAGATGTCACCATTATTATTCCATTTCCCTAGTGAGAAGTAATATTTCTCTCCCTAGGCCAATAGTAATAATAGAAAAGTCCCTAGTTAAATAATAAAAGATGTTTACATTTTTACGTTCTTAATGGCCTTCTCGACCGAAGTATATATATAATTTTTCTAATGTTTAATAATCTAACCCGGATAATTTCCTAAATTGATTTATTTTGATTTTCAACTTCCCATCAATTTTCTGAAATATCTCAATATTTGATAGCCTGACATTCAGTTGTCAAACTGCCGCAATATAATTTATCGGTCTCAAGAAAATAGATAAAAGTTCTATGAAAACTTAAAAGGGAAAAGCAAAAAATTAGTGAATCTTAAGTTCCAGTGATTTTAGAAGTGTAAATGGATCGAATCTCACTTGAATTTAGAGAGGTGGGCAAACCGAGGTGGCTCGGTATATAATAGCTTAGTTCTCGACCTAGGTATTTAATATACTATTTCGAGGTAGTCGCAATTTGCTATATGAACTTTAAGTCAGCTTTCTAGATAGGCCCAGGTAACTCAGTAAATTTTCTTGAATTTGCGTAGTGCTGCGCAAATGGCTTGGTGCGCCAACCCAACGCACCAGCACAGCAACTCACCGGCTCAGATTATCTGGCAGTAAACTTATATATATTTTACGACATACGATAAATGTGCTATTGTTATCGCATAGTTTCGCGTCATGGGCTCTGCTTTTAAAAAGTGCAGCACGTTTAATCTCTTCTTCTTTGGATTTACTGAAGAGAGACTATGTCACAAGCCGGTTGCGTTGTTATAATGAATGAAATAAATGAAGTCGAAATATACCTTTTTCTTCTTGTGAAGCCTAGTTGTCACACAAGCGAACTTTCTAAGAAAATATTCGATAATTTGGATGATTTTACGGGTGTCGGAAATCGTTGAAATAACATAGTTTTCATTTGCGATTATTTCGTGGTGAAAAAAATGTATTTTATAACATGTGTGGGCAGGCATGGCCAGTACCATCAGTGCATTCATTTTAGGATTCGCGATTGTAAATTCGGGTATAAACAGAACCTATCCCGAACCGACATAAATAAGAATTTATCGGTAGAAAATGTAAATTGACCACGAACTAATTTGGATATCGGAAACCATATGATGACTGTTGTTGATTGTTGCAACCAGAGTTGGTGCGGCCACCTCTGAACTGGTGGATGAAGTCCGCTACAAGCTCTATTCGAGGTGCGGCGTAGTAAGGAAGGATGAGTTATACCTCCAACTAACACCAACTCACAGAGCGGCAACAACTTTTAACATTTGACTTATTAAACTGTCTTCTTTCAAGACATTTGTTGCACATGTAAAATAGACATAATTTATAAAAAAATTGTTTTTTGACTCAATAACAGCCAAAAATCATACTGTTGTTTTTATATTCGAAATAACTTCAAAAATAAGAAAAAAATGAAAATTCAAAAAATAACTTTTTTCTAAATATCTCAAAAATTAAAAGAAATTCTTGTTTTCTGAAAGCGCTATGTATATGGCCCCCTGATTGCGCAACTTCTTCCTAAATTAACCGACTTCGTATCTCTTACGGTTTCGGAGAATCCTATGCAATGCATCCTTATCTTGGACACTGTACATATATTTGCTCTACTTTTACCGCTGGTCGATTTAATTTCGTTGATTGAGAAAACAATGATGCCAAATTTATTATTGCATTTTTCGCGAATATATGGGTTTTTAGTAAAAATTACTTTTTTAACAATTTATTTTGTATCGAACACCATGTATGTTGAATGAAATTGCATGCATCTTTCAGTCTAATAATAGTTATTTACGTAATCAGTAGGATATGACTATTATTAACGCACGCCTGTGAAGATTTGTTCACATAAGTACGTTAATAATATAATATTGTGCCGTGGATGACCGAGTATCAAACTCATTCTTCAGCTTTCAACTTTTATTCAACTCGGTATCACCTTAACTACGGAACAGGAACAAACTAACTTCAAAATTACCGTCAAATTCACAAACAATAACAATAACAGACGGAAAGCTCGCTCTTCCAACTCGCGGGTTCAACCTTCTTCTGCACTCTGTCGCTGCTGTCACTTCACTTTTCTTGTGTGGTTCTCGTCGTCGCTTATATAATTTCCTCCAGGTAACCCAGATGGTTCTCGAAATCTCCAGAACAGGTGCAAAACTTCCCGCCTGTCAGTGTCATATTTGACAGTAAATGGGGCCCAAATGAGGCTCCCATTTACTGAAATACCATGAATTTCGATCCCCCATTCCAAACGTGAGTACCCCAGGCCATTTCCGTTACAATATACTAGGTGTTACGTTCAATATTTTATCTACTACTATAACGATTAATATTTTAATGATTATTTGAGTAAAAATAATTAGTTATAAAATTGAATATAGAAGACCGGTAAAGAAAATTTGTCATTGTCATCAGAATCAAAGTTGTGTTTTAAAATTACACGTTTTATAATGAGTTCAAGAGATGATCTGCCATGTGATATTGAGAACAAAGCTTCTAATGTCACATGACATATTTAAACCGCACTAGTGCGGTAATAAAGATCATTATGACACTTGAAAGAGTGCCATATAATAGTGATTATAAAACAGTTGTAAATAAATACCTTTAATGATACCGCTTTGGTGAGAGCTAGATTGCAATCCTCACATACGAAAAAAGCTGGCGGAACGCAAAAATGATACACGTGAGGCCATTTCTTCTGTAGGCATTTTTTACAGCAAACGCTCTCTGTACCATGTTTCCAGAACAAATGCCTCGTAATATCCGCTTTATTTCTGTAAAGAAATGGCATATGTATATTTACATGTTAAAAAAGTTACGTTAATTTACCTATAAGCAATTGCACATCTATAGCAAAAGTGATGCAATTTGTGCTTCCACACATGATTCGATAGTTTGTACTGACTATGACATAATTCCAAACACACATCACAGATATTGTGTCGTTTTCTTAAATGAACCATCAGACGAAACGCTGATGGTAGATCATCGTTAATGCACAAGCAACAGCGATATTGCATATCATAGTCCAAAATGTATACACCTGGACATAAATGGCATATTAACTCACTGTAACTGTAAAAGTTACATTTACACATTATGCACAACAACCGGTTCTTGGAATGATATTTGCGGTTGTGGAGGTACAGTTCTTTGTGCACGCTGGTACTATAATGGCATTGAAAGCATTCAAACATATGGGAAAATGTTACAGCTTCGTTTGAAACTCCGGAATCCAAATTGAAAAAAGTACTTTCCAGTTCTCCCAAGCACTCTCGAATTCGTATATTGAAACTGTCTGGTATTAACTCTTCCTCTGTGATGCTTTTGTTTATTGCAGAATAGCGGTGTTCAGCCATTGCATGAAGTGCAAGTTGTCTACCATTCACTGCTATTCGTCTTGAGTGATTGCAATAAATACATGAAGATACCGTCGCTCTCAAGCATTTTTGCAACAAGTTTACTATGTTCATTTTATCTAAAGGTTGGTCCAATTGAATTTCTATAACTGTGACCTCAGAACCAGCTATGGGATATTCTGCACACACGGCTTTTACTTCAAGCGCCGAGTTGTCCTGTTCATCGAGGTCTTGTTCTGAAATATAGATAGGGCCTCGAATAAAAATATGCGTTTACTAGAAAGTTTAACAAATTTGCAAAAAAACGTACGTAGGTATTTCAACAGAATGGTGCGCTTTTTCACCCAGCTAAAACGACCAAAAAGTGGTTTGGAGATCATAATTTCAAAATTTTATCGTGGCTCTCAAGCAGTCCGGTCTTGAATGTTCCAGAAACTTTATGGCATCAAATCAAATAAGGAAATCATTGAGGAACGATCCTTAGCAAACAGTTCCGGGATTAGAGGCAAAAACAACTAAAATTTGGAATTTTCTCAGCACAGAATATTGCCAGACTCTAGTGGATTCAAAGGCAACACGTATAAAAGCCGGTAGGAAATATTACTTCGTAATAAAATTCGCCTTAATACAGGGTGTCCCACCGGGAACCCTCCGCGATCGATATCTGGAAAACTGTAATTGGAGAAATTTGAAAATTGGACAGTGTGCCGAAGTCATTGGGGGCAAGCGGACTAAAATATTTTCAAGAAGGCCACACTTCCGGTTATACCGGAAGTAGGTATCAACTTGCTTATTTTAAATGGCACACCCTATATATTATTATATGTTTGGATTCTAATCCAAATTCTCAATATGTTTCATGTATAATATCCTATACCTAAGTCTAACCGTTTTTGATATATTTGAAATTGTATGTAAAAATGACAGTTGCAGCCAATCGAATAATTATTCATTTTTCCTATAAGGGAATATGTGCTTGTTGAAAGACTTACTTTAATGGAATTTCGAGAACATTTTGATAACTATTAATACGAAGTGTTATACAGTTGAGAAAACCGCCCAAAATCAATTTTTTCAAATGGAAACTCTTTTAAAAAGTTAAATACTTTTTAACTTTTAAAATGTGAAATACCTAGTAATAAAATGTTTAAAAATTTTGCGAGACATAGAATTTTGAATTTCAAACGTATGAACTTCAGAAAATCAGAGAAGCTTTTATGCTTACAATAAATTGATATAAACCATGTCTATGGCTAGAATTATGTCACTTATGCCGACTATTCTCATAAATTAAGACGTAGTATCGTTTCTGCTAAGATCAGCATAATTTTAACTATAAAAAAAGCCTCAGCAGAAACGAGAATTCAGTTATTAGATGTTTGGTCAAAAGTCATAAGAATTAATCTTAAAGATAGTCAGTCTACGGTTAGGTTCGGTCCCATACATTTAAAATCCATATTATAAAAATTGTATTAATTTTGAAATACAAGTGTTTTTAAATACAAAAAAAAGTTTCAAATTAATCAATAAAATTCTAGCGGCCAGACAAGTTGGTCGTCGGATTAATTCTGTTTGTAAATAAGTATATCGATCGATACCTCAGATTAAACGCATTTCTTTACGTTTTTCGATGGGAGCAACATTGGTTCACAGTCTATATAAAAGTAGGTACTTAAAAACAGCGTCGAAACTTTATATTAAAAAATTCATAAGAATTTTACATTAATCATGACAAACATTAAACTCATCAATTCAACATTCATCATGACAACACCGCAATGAGGGGAGAGTACGTGATAGTGACATGATAGTAATAAGGGAAGAGGATTTGCTGAACAAGTAAATACGGCAATTTATCGTGTTTTTTAGTGATAGTAAGTGAGAATCGTCATATTAATAAACTGTTACGCTTAAAAAAATCGTGCGACGTSGTTTCATATACAGGAAAATAGTCCAAAATTTTCCTCACCAYTRMTGWWTTGCACRATTGWWAAMWGAGACMACTGGCGTRARTTGWWWTGAMTRWAKAASCYARGAKYTRWWTTYRATCCCTWTKGAATYGTWAWCAMATGCTTMARRAAAKTRCGTTACTATTAWAGCAGTTTATAATAATTATAWTGTAATTTTTTTTTTTRATTTATTTTCCTRACTACGTGTAATTGGGAAACAMTTATGGGGYAAGTGTTTTCAAATGTTTTGCTCTCCCAAASAATWATTTTTTCCTTAATAACTAAYGGATGTTTTAATGCTTTGTAAATTATAGTTTTTGTACAACATATTTTAATTGTACTTAAATTGGTGTTTGTAGTTTGCTTTGAATTTTAAATCTGATGATGGCGCTGTTGTCTCGCCAAAACGTAATATGAAATATACAATATGAACATTTTTATTTTACATTTTGACTGAAACTAGCTTGGTCTATTTATTAATGTTTTTGATTAGTACTAACTAAAAGGGATAAAAAAAACTGGCAGGGATAAAAGTACCAGCACTTTAATCCCTGCCACGTGTTTTTCACTCATAAACCGCCGATCGATAGAATTCAATGTTGCTCCCAAACAAATTGGAATTTATGAATTACTAGTTTTGCCTATCTATTAATGTCTTTACTAGACAATAAAGATCGTACACTAAGCGTTATTGGTATATGATCTATTACGAAAATATATCTAAATGTAGTGTAATTGTACTAAAAGATCCTGCAATGATGCATCGAGATATCAAATATCATGCATAAATATATTGTTAAAAAAAATTCTACATACCCATTATGATGTATAATTTTGTTATTGAAACCTCCTTAAAAGAAAGTAGGTACAACCGTTTCGATTTCGCTGTTACTGTCTTATGTTCTTTCTAGTGACTAATCAATAACTACTATCTACGGATACATTACATACCTGGTTCTTCAGCTGCTCCAAGATCCTCCTGTTCATTTTCAGTCTCTACATTATCAATATCCTTATCGAATTTGTCACTATCATCACTATCTTCAGCATTCAGATATTCAACAGGTTTTGGCAATTTAAGGGACAGTTTTGGAACTTTCCGTGTTTCACATTGAATGTCTGTATTTTCCAAGCAGGTTTGCAAGTCTTCGTCAAGGGGTTCAGGCCTTATTGCGTCCGTGGGCTGAGCAGGTTGAATGTTTTCGTGCTGCGATTGATGCATGGTGAACGTCGAAGGGGACTTTACACCTTCTACATTTTCTATTTTATCTTCACATTCACTACTGTCACTCTCAGAATGTTTAGACATATCTGGATTGTTAGAAATTTGTTTATCGGGTTCTGCTGGTGTTTTTTCACCTTCTTCACCTGATTCAGTAGGTATTTCACTGAAATCACCAGTTACGTGATTTTCGGGAGCAATGCTATGTTTAGATTTAGCCTTAACTGGCTTAATGCAGCTGTGGTAAAAAAAGTTATCACGCTCCGTAAACTGTTGGTGACACTCACAGCAAACGAGGTAGCACGGTTCTCTATATGCAGTATAAAACTCTTCAGGAGTGTTTCTAACAGCCGGTTTAAATTTATGTCGAGAGTGAATGTGCTGGCATAAAGGCTCAAGACTGGAAAACATTCCCAAGCAATACAAACAGATAAATCGCCTATGATATTCCAACATATGCATATACAAATTCCAGTTTTCATAGTAAGTGCCGCATGCTGAACATAAAAACACTCTCCTGGTAAGCTTAAATCCAGACACTTGCTTATTTCCAGGTTTGTCCAATGGCTGAAGAGGGCTGCATTGCTGTAAAAAATGATCCTGTAGTGTCGACAATGATTCGAATCCAGACTTGCCACATTTGGGACACTTAAATTGCACAGCTGGTTGCAAACCCAAATATTGAGCATACTCTTTTAGCTTGGGCTTTCTGATTGTTCTGTGTGTTTGTGAAAGTTCGAAAAGGGACTCGTTAAAAAATGGATTTTTCAGCTCTTCTTTGAGTATTTCATCAGGCTGTACTGCTTGGTTTGAAATCGAATCTTCAGTGTTTTCTTCCGACTTTACTTCATCACTAACCTTGTTCTTTTTGTTTTGCTTTCTGTTTCGATTTTTCTTCCTTTTGGGCAGCCCTTCGTCAATGACTAGTGCATCACTTTCTGAACTGTACTGAATTTGTTCTTGAGTTCCTTCACAATTTGTTGCAGGTTTCTGTTGATTTGGAACTGGAGCTTCTGAGAAATTGGCCATTGCAAGACCTACGATTGAAATTGTCCTCAAGTCTGAATACTTAACTCGTGCCTTGGGAAAACAACACTTAAACACGAATGCGTTTCCTACCTTGGCCCTCTGAAATTGAGTTCTTCAAGAAAACCACTTTAGGTACTCTTTCCAAAGCATTTTGTCAGAAAATATACACTTAGCATAAAGGTTAATGTTAAAATGGCGCTTCTACATACTAAACGCCTATTCTAGGTAGGTCTACCAACATAAGTCTGAGTTTACATCAACGACTTAGGTTAACAGCTGCAATCAAAATTCTGTTTAGCTACAGATCTTTTTGAGGTGACGTCACGGCAAGTCGGCCATATTGTCGGAGGGGCAGACAAAGTTATCAGCGCATTGAACATAATAGATGCTGCCGCTTGGTTATTCGTTTAAATGGTTTACATATCCTTAAAAGGAAAAGTTCTCTGTGTTCTTTTGGTGAAAAAAGTTAACATGCCATCCTTTTGTTCAGTTGTAAGAACCGAGCAGAGAGGGTTGGATTTCTCGACATACCCAAAGCTTTTAAAAACAACAGTTTTTGTAATAGCATTTGAATTATTAACGCGTGTTATTAACTCAACAATAACATTAAATAATCCACATTAATAGTATTACTTTTAGACAATGAACTATATACTAACGTAACTGGAACAGACGACACTAGAAATCGCAATGTACGGGGCATTGTGCGCCAGCGCACAATTTTGACGGAGCCCAGCTGACTGACTTCAGCCAGCTGATTGAAATTCAAATGTGTATATGTATGGAGAAAAAAATAATTTTATTTTCTCTATTGATGTGTGTGTGAACGCGTGGAATTATGATGAGAATGGGGAAAGTAGTG